TCTACTTCCTGTCTCCCACCATGCACCACTTCCCCAGCTTTCTGGATGTCCTGCAGCACGATGGCATATTTGTTAAAATCAACGAATCTACACTGACATATCATTATCACCCAAATTCCTTAGTTTACTTTAGCATTCATTTTTAGTGTTACACATTAAATGGATTTTAACAAATGTATAATGACATGTATCCATCATTGTAATATCAGGCAGAATAGTTTCACTGTCCTCAAAATCCCCTATTCTCTGCCTATTCATCCCTCCCTCCCTTTATCCCCTGGCAACCACTAATTATTTTACTGTCTCCATCATTGTGCCTTTTCCAACTTGTCATATAGTTGGGATCATATAGTTTGTAGCCTTTTCATATTGGCTTTTTTTTACTAAGTATTAAGTACATTTCCTCTATGTCTTTTCATGGCTCGGTAGCTCATTTCTTTTTAGCACTAAATATTCCATTGTCAGGATGTACCACAGTTTATCCATTCACCTACTAAAGGATGTCTTGGGTGCTTCTGGGTTTTGGCAATTATAAATAAAACTGCTGGAAACTTCCATGTGGGCTGGGTATGGTGGCTCATGCCTGTAAATCCTAACACTTTGAGAGGCTGAGGTGGGAAGATCGCTCGAACCCAGGAGTTCATGACCAGCCTGGGCAACATAGTGAGACCCTGTCACTACAAGAAATTAAAAGATTAGCTGGGTATGGTGGCCTGTGCTTATAGTCCCAGCTACTCTGGAGGCTGAGGTGGGAAGATTGCTTGAGCCTGGGAGGCTGCAGTGAGCCATGATTATGCCACTGCACTTCAGCCTGGCAACAGAGTGAGACCCTGTCTCAAAAAAAAAAAAAAAAAAAAAAAAAAAACCACCATGTGCAGGTGTTTATGTGGACATAAGTGTTTGAGTAACTATCAAGGAATTGGGTCATATAGTAAGAGTATATTTAGTTTTGTCAGAATCTGCCAAACTGTTTTCCAAAGTGGCTGTACTATTTTGCATTCCCACCAGCAATGAAGGAGAGTTCCTGTTGCTTCACGTCCTTGCCAGCATCTGGTGGTGTCAGTGTTTTGTCTTGTGGCCGTTCTAATAGGTGTGTAGTGGTATTTTTTTTTAAGTTGTAATTCCCAGGAGACATAAGTTGAACATCTGTTTGTATGCTTGCTTGCCATTTGTGTGTCTTCCTTGAGGAGGTGTCAGTTTTGGTCTTTTACCTGTTTTTAAAATGGGATTGTTTGTTTTCTTCTTGTTATTCAGTTTTTTTTTTTTTTTAATTTATTTATTGTTACTATACTTTAAGTTGTAGGGTACATGTGCATAACGTGCAGGTTTGTTACGTATGTATACTTGTGCCATGTTGGTGTGCTGCACCAATCAACTCGTCATTTCCATCAGGTATAACTCCCAATGCAATCCCTCCCCCCTCCCCATGATAGGCCCCGGTGTGTGATGTTCCCCTTCCTGAGTCCAAGTGATCTCATTGTTCAGTTCCCACCTATGAGTGAGAACATGCGGTGTTTGGTTTTCTGTTCTTGTGATAGTTTGCTAAGAATGATGGTTTCCAGCTGCATCCATGTCCCTACAAAGGACACAAACTCATCCTTTTTTATGGCTGCATAGTATTCCATGGTGTATATGTGCCACATTTTCTTAATCCAGTCTGTCACTGATGGACATTTGGGTTGATTCCAAGTCTTTGCTATTGTGAATAGTGCTGCAATAAACATACGTATGCATGTGTCTTTATAGCAGCATAATTTATAATCCTTTGGGTATATATCCAGTAATGGGATGGCTGGGTCATATGGTACATCAAGATCCTTGAGGAATCGCCATACTGTTTTCTATAATGGTTGAACTAGTTTACAATCCCACCAACAGTGTAAAAGTGTTCCTATTTCTCCACATCCTCTCCAGCACCTGTTGTTTCCTGACTTTTTAATGATCGCCATTCTAACTGGTGTGAGATGGTATCTCATTGTGGTTTTGATTTGCATTTCTCTGATGGCCAGTGATGATGAGCATTTTTTCATGTGTCTGTTGGCTGTATGAATGTCTTCTTTTGAGAAATGTCTGTTCATATCCTTTGCCCACTTTTTGATGGGGTTGTTATTCAGTTTTAAGCTTTCTTTGTTTACTTTGGATTAACACTTTATCAGCTGTATCTTTTGCAAATATTTTCCCCCGGACTATGGCTTGTCTTCTTACTCTCCTGATAGATTTTTTAATGAAGCTTAACCCATATGGGAAAGTGCAAAATTGAAAATACGTGTATAGCTTGATGAGTTTTCTAAGCTAATCTATTATTGGCTTCTCAGTGTAGTTTGAATTTGCATTTCTCTACGGGCCATTTCTGTTTTTTTTCTCTGAACTTCTGGTTCACATCTCTTACCCACTTGTCATGTGAATTACTGACCTTTTTTTTTCCCCTAGGAAATCAATAAAAACTGGGGATGGTATTTTGTCTGAGATGAATAATATTTTTTGCCTCCTTTTTTTCATCAGTTTTTTGACTTTGCTGTTGGTTTTGCTATAACAATTAACTTGAATTTCCTCAAATGGATACATGGAATCTCCTTCTCAGGACTCAGCTAGTTTTCACTGTTTTCCAAAATTCTTCATGTTTGTTGTTGTTGTTGTTGTTGTTGTTTTGGAGACACGGTCTCACTCTGTCGCCCATGAAGGAATACAGTGGCATGATCACAGCTCACCGTAGCTTCAACTGCCTGGGCTCAAGTGATTCTTCCCCCTCTGTCTCCCCACAGGTGTATGCCACCATGCTTGGCTAATTTTTTAAAAAAATTATTTGTAGAGACGAGGTCTCACTATGTTGCCCAGGCTGGTCTCAAACTCCGGGGTTCAAGTGATCCTCCCACTTTGGCTTCCGCAAGTGCTGGGATTACAGGCGTGAACTACCTGGCCTGGACTACCTTTTAAGGTTTACATAAATAGCTCATTTTCTTTTAGTGCTTTTTGTATATGTTTATCTTAGCATTTAGTCACAATCTTTATCTCACCTGTTTTTCCGTAGGTCATAAACTCATTGAGGGCTAGGATGCTTGTTTTATTCTCTCTCTGTCCATGCTTGGAGCACGAGAAGTGTACAATACAACTGTTGAATATAAATGATTGCTTCTTTGTTTCTTCGATTTGGTGCCTTTGACTTTACAACCATTGCTTTCTTTACAGCTGATGCTATTAATTTGTTATTGTTGAACCAACCAAGCAGTCTTACTTACCCCCCTTGTCATCCTGTCATTTTCTGCTACTTCCTTTGAGGATTGTTCTGGAGAGACCTTGACTTTTTCTGGAACCTCTGTGAGAGATAACAGATCTTTCAAACATTTACTTCTTCATAATTAAGGTTTATGGGAATGTTTTGATATAAACAAATGATGCTTTACTTCTAAGTATTTTTTCTTTTCTTTTTTTTGGGGGGAACAGTGTCATATCTTATTTTCCTTTTTTGTTTTTGTATGTTTCTGTAAAATAATTTTTTAAAAGCTATACAAAAAGTGAGGTATTAGTGTAATAAACTTCCATGTACTGGAAGCTTCAGGAGTAGGTAAGTACTTAATACATCATTAGAGTTATGCAGGTTACTAGAGGCTATCTAGGGCTAACTTCCCACTCCAAAATGCAAGATAGTAATTTAGATACAATTTGAATTTCTGTATCGATAGGAATTTTAGCCTCTTTGGTTCAGTCTGTTTCGTTATTGAACAGCTGTATTTGTAAATTGAGCTAAACTATGCCTCTGAAGAAACCCTGATCCAGTTTTAACCGCTTTCAACATAAGACTTTTAGTTTGTTGAAGACAATGATTATAGCTTTCTTATTAAGCTGAAATAAAGTTAATTTTAAATGGCATCTTTTAAAAAACTTGTGGTACTAGTAAAAAAAAAAACTGACAAACACATCTTGAGGACTAAGAGAAACAAATTCACTTTCCTTATTGATTTGTCAATTGATGGCTACTGGTAGTAGGGCCAGTATTTTAAGTTAATTTCTGATTTAAAACTTGAACATATTTTAACCACGTAAGCAGTTTTTATATCTTTTAGTATTAAGTTGGCAGTCCACAAATGGAAACCCTGTCAGTCATGGTTTACAGCCTTTCAGTTCTCTACTCACCATATCTAATAGATGCTTTATTTATGAGATCTTTAAAAATTTTGCTTTCCATTCAGAAATTGCTAATTCAGATTATTTCCTTAATTTCCTTTTTTTATCTTGAGACAGGGTCTGGCTTTGTCACCCAGGCTGGATTGCAGTGGCATGATCTCAGCTTACTGCAACCTCCATCTCCCAGACTCAAGCGATTCTCCTGCCTTAGCCTTTCCCGAATAGCTGGGATCACAGGCGTGCACCACCACACACCCAGCTAATTTTTGTATTTTTAGTAGAGACGGGGTTTCACCATTTTGGCCAGGCTGGTCTCGAACTCCTGACCTAAAGCGATCCGCCCTCCTTGGCCTCCAAAATGCTGGTATTATGGGTGTGAGCCAGCACACCAGGCCTATATCCTTAATTTCAGAATCACTTCATGGCAGCGTATACATTGTAATATATGTGTCAGTTATAATCTTATTGTTAAAATCAAGCAGCCCAGGTTATTTAAATGATTTCTTCTTCTTCTTTTTTTTTTTCCACCTGGACTCTTTTATTAGTAATAGATTTGAATAGAAGGTACATTCTGAGAGAATCTTTATAAGCCCTTAACTTCTTCATGAAAATGTTCAGGTCACTTAATATTCTGAGTTGATTTTGCCCTGTAATATATTTATCTGTGGTTTACCACAATGAGAATTATGTATGGAACATGTTTGTTGAATAGTTTAAAATAACTGGTTATATCTAGCATTATGTTTAAGCATTTCTTTAGCTTGTTTGTATAAAATGAATGTGTTTTGTTCTTATTGGAAATTCAAAACTAGAATGCAGTTATCTTTTTCCTTGATTTCTGTACTAGAATGCAATATCTCTTTTCTTGATTTCTGTAGAGCAGGTTGTTGCCCTGGATGCCCAAAATATCGTAGCTGTTTCATGTGGAGAAGCTCATACGTTAGCGCTAAATGACAAAGGCCAGGTGTATGCTTGGGGTCTCGATTCTGATGGACAGCTTGGCCTGCTAGGATCAGAGGAATGCATCAGAGTACCCAGGTAACAAAGGTGACCAGAAAGAGGTCCTTAACAATCTTTTAAAATAAATTTATTAATCTATGTCATTCTGCTTATCTTTGGGCATGTAAGAGTTGACATCTCATTATTTCTCCCCTTTGAGTCCTTTGATAAGAGTTTGGTTCTTGCTTATGATGTTAGTTGAGCTATTGATTGGTTTGCTATTTTTATATACTCTATATTTTCTCTATAATCAATAGAATTTATGTTTGTAAATAAAAAAGGAATAGGGAATACTTCATTACAAATTCTTTTAGTCGGTTAGACTAATTTAAACAACTATCTTGAGTATTCCTGCTATTGAAATATTTATTAAATTATTGATTTGTTGAATGTTTTTCACTAACTTGTCTTTTTTTAGTCTTTATTGTTTCTGTTGAGTATAGAAGTCTAACGTGCTTACTGTAAAAAGAATGTAGTCAGTTTCCACTTTTTACATAGCAGTGACCACGATTTAATTAATTCATCATATAATTATTTCACAATTAAAAAATAAGCAGTGCCTCATCCATGTTTTAGTCTTACACAGTTACAGAGGGCATAATCATTTTTTGTTTGTTTGTTTGTTTTTGAGACGGAGTCTCACACTGTTGCCCGGGCTGGAGTGCAATGGTGTGATCTCGGCTCACTGCAACCTCTGCCTCTCGGTTTCAAGCCATTCACCTGCCTCAGCCTCCCGAGTAGCTGGGATTACAGGCTCCCGCCACCACATCTGGCTAATTTTTTGTATTTTTAGTAGAGATGGGGTTTCACCATGTTGGCCAGGCTGGTCTCGAACTCCTGACTTCAAGATTTGCCCACTTTGGCCTCCCAAAGTACTGGGATTACAGACATGAGCCACCATGCCTGGCTAATCATTGTTTTAATATTAAAAACTCCAACAGCATGAATTACGTAGGTGAAGAATATACAGATTTAAAGAATTCAGTTTATTTTATATACATAAATAATACATTAACTCATACTTAGTTTTAAAATTTATACAAATTCTGACCTCTTTAAACTCTTTTGTTCTTTTTCCTAGTAATAGTTGTAGGGATAAAAGAACTATACTGGGACCAAGGTTTTTTTTTTTTTTTAAGACAGAATTTTGCTCTTGTTGCCCAAGCTGGAGTGGAGTGGCGCGATCTTGGCTCACCACAACCTCCGCCTCCCGGGTTCAAGCAGTTTTCCTGCCTCAGCCTCCTGAGTAGCTGGGATTACAGGCATGCGCCACCACACCTGGCTAATTTTGTATTTTTTTTAGTAGAGACGGGGTTTCTCCATGTTGGTCAGGGTGGTCTCGAACTCCAGACCTAAGGTGATCTGCCCACCTCAGCCTCCCAGAGTGCTGGGATTACAGGCTTGAGCCACTTTGCCCAGCTGGAACCAAAGTATTCTTAAGTTAATTTTAGATTTACTGCAGATGACATTTTTCTACACATCTTTATGTATTTTGTTTTTAACATTGATAAAGTTTGTTTTGGTTTGAGAATGAGGATGTAACTACTAGAATAAGAAAATGGAGCATAGGAACTCTTAATTTGACATGTTATATCATGTTAATAATGAACTATCTGTTGAGACTTTCATTTTTTTAATTGAACTTATAACCAAATTCCACAAAACTCCCCAATTTGCTTACCCTTTGTTTCTTCTGCATTAATGCACACAATTCCCAGTGTGCTTTTGATTCCTCTTAATGATGGAACTTTTGGGAGAAAAAAAAATTTTTTTCTTAAGTTAAAGCATTCATAAAAGCATAATGACCTCACATTTGACCCACCCTCTACTCTTTTTATTTCTTCTCACAAGTAATTCTTATAGAACAGGATTTTAAATTTAAGATTTTAGGCCGGGTGCAGTGGCTCACGCCTGTAATCTCAGCACTTTTGGAGGCCGAGCAGGGTGGATCATGAGGTCAGGAGTTTGAGACCACCCTGGCTAACATGGTGAAACACCGTCTCTACTCAAAATACAAAAAATTAGCTGGGCATGGTGGCAGGCGCCTGTAGTCCCAGCTCCTCGGGAGGCTGAGGCAGGAGTATGGCATGAACCCGGAAGGCGGAGCTTTCAATGAGCCAAGATCGTGCCACTGCACTCCAGCCTGGGCGACAGAGCGAGACTCCATCTCAAAAAAAAAAAAAAAAAGATTAAAAAAACTGTGTTTTTAGGATGAAAAGATATTTGTATGTTAGATCTTCTAAGTCTGTATTCTCAAAACCATGATTCATGGCAAAATTTTCTAGTTTCCTTTATTTTTACTCTACCAGTCTGATGATTCTCATACTTAAATTTTTGTTGATGTTCACCTTTAAGGGATTTTAGCCAGTAATACATAGGTAAATAATAAATGAAAAGAAAGTTAATTATAAGGAGAGAATTTTATTATTTACAAAATTTATATGAGGGTTGTCCAATAATAACTATGAACCTGGATGGGGACCTGAAAGAGAATTTACTTGAGTTCTTTGGTTTAAACATCTTTATTTTTGTATGTGTTCAACATCTGTATTAACTTTAAGCTGTATGTTAAGGTATTTCTGCTTTTCATCCTTCTCAATTTTTCAAAATTTGATGGCTTGATCTGATTTGTTGTAACATATACATAGTTTTTACTGATATTATCAGGTTTTAAAGGGCCATTTAGTATTTCAGTGGAAATGTATTTTTATAAAAGGAAGAGTGCCAAGTGAGTTTTAGTTTTAATTTCAGTACCAAATCATTCTTTAGATGTAAGGTGTTTATAGATTTTTGTTTGTTTTTTGAGACAGGGTCTCACTATGTCACCCAGGCTGGTTTGTAGTGGCATGCTCACAGCTCACTGCAGCCTCGACCTCCTGGACTCAAGTCATCCTCCCATCACAGCCTCCCTAGTAGGTGGGACTACAGGCATGTACCACTATGCTTGGCCAATTTTTGTATTTTTTGTAGAGACGGAGTTTCACTATGTTGCCCAGGCTGGTCTTGAATTCCTGGACTCAAGGGATTCACTGGCTTTGGCCTCCCAAAGTGTTGGGATTACAGGCGTGAGCCACTGTGTTCTGCCTAGTGTTTATAGATTTTCGTAAGAGTAATCAGAATAGGCTGGGTGTGGTGGCTCACACCTGTAATCCCAGCACTTCGGGAGGCCGAGGTGGGTGGACCACAAGGTCAGGAGTTCAAGACCAGCCTTGCCAAGATGGTGAAACCCCGTCTCTACTAAAAATACAAAAAATTAGCCAGGCAGGTGCCTGTAATCCCAGCTGCTCGGGAGGCTGAGGCAGAGAATTGCTTGAACCTGGGAGGCCGAAGTTGCAGTGAGCTGAGATTGCGCCATTGCACTCTAGCCTGGGCGACAGAGCGAGACTCCATCTCAAAAAATTTAAAAAAAAAGAGTAATCAGAAAAGTGAAGATTCACATTAGGTTATACTTTTGTGACAACAAAATCCATTTTTTATGCCAATGGATGGATAATATTAAAGAAGAATGTGAAAATAATAATAGGATATAACTGAAACTAATTAGTTTGATAATGAATTCTTTCCTACTTCTAATTTTGTTTTGTTTTGAAGTCACTACTTTGGGAAAGACCAGGTATTTTAAATAGTGTCTGTAGACCTGCATTTCTGGCTAGATTTTAATGTAGAATATATATTACACCTTTTTATTTAAAAAAAATTAACCCAAATTTTATTATCTTAGTTTAATGTAAGTGGAAATACATAACTTTGCACACAGACTTCAGAAAAATAATTGTTGGCAATAAAGATGTAGTCTATCTTCTAAAAGTTCTGCTTCTTGGACATATGCATTAAGAAATTATGGCAAGATAGTATAAGATTATTATTTTTGTGAGTACAGCAATTTCTGGACTATACAAACTAAACATATTTGAATTATTGGCTTGGTCACAAATACAATTTATTTTCTTGTTATTCATTTTAAAATATATTACAATTCCTGCCTAATTTTAGCATCTGAAAATTTGGAACATTATAGATTAAAAAGAAAAAGAGTAGTTTTTAATGGTATAGACTAGATCCGTTGTTAGTCTAAATTTTTCATTTTTTTTTTTTTAATCAACTCCCCTGTTCTGAGATAAATTTTTCAAAATTGAAATGAGTTGGTGTTAAGATTTTTCTGAAATAACTAGGAAAGTTGTGGCTTAACTGGAAAATAGAAAATTGTTAATTGTGTTTAATTGGCAAAATATTTAATACTTTAGCTCCTCAAATGTTTGATTACATATTATAAACTGTTTACTAATCGTTAACATTAGTGGTTGGAATTTTGTCTTCAGAATCATAACTAGCAATGCCTGATTTCTGCCTGTATTGCCACTACGCGTTAAGTTGGAAAAACAGAAGAATATAATAGTGTACACATTCCATAATTAATATGCTTTAGCAGAGTCCCAAAGGAAGGATGTATAAATTTGATTTCCAATGCGTGTGTGTGTGTGTGTATATATATATATTTTTAATTTCCAAAATTTATTCTGGCTTCTTTTCCTTTTTTTTTTTTGAGACGAAATTTCACTCTGTCGCCCAGGTAGGAGTGCAGTGGTGCAATCTGGGCTCACTGCAACCTCCGCCTCCTGGGTTCAAGCCATTCTCCTACCTCAGCCTCCCAAGTAGCTGGGACTACAGGCACCCGCCACCATGCCCAGTTAATTTTTGCATTTTTAGTAGGGATGGAGTTTCACCATATTGTCCAGGCTGGTCTTGACCTCCTGACCTTATGATCCGCCCGCCTCAGCCTCCCAAAGTGCTGGGATTACAGGTTTGAGCCACCGCGCCCAGCCTTTCTTTTGCTTTTCTGTTCAGTGTATTCCAATCTTCAAAAATTAAAAATGATTAAACACATTATCTTTTTTATGTGACAAAGGGGATTACTTTTGATGAATTCTAAAAAATTTAATTATATTCTAATTTATCTCTTTAGGAAAAATGGAACATGGGAACTTTGTTTTACCATTCACAATATTTTTTAATTTCTGAAAGCTAAAACAAAGAAAACAAAGCCAGTATCTCCCCATTCTTCAGGGTATTAATACATTTATATGAAGATGAAAGGGGATAGTTTTTTCTTTAACACAGTAATGACACAGAAGAATATATTTCCTGGTCTCTGTAGTAGATAATGGCAAAAGATATTAGCATTTATATGTATTACAAGCCTTATGTTAGTATTTTGGAAAGGAGAGTAACTGAATATAAATTGCTATGCAAATTTAGAAGATTTTTGGCAAAATTTGTGACTAATACTGAAGCCTCCAAGACCTTACAAATTTATTTATCCTTTAACAGTTTATTCATTACATATTATTAATTCGGCACTATAGCAGGTGCCAGGCATTATCATGGGTGTAAGACACATGGTTTGCCTTCACAGAACTTACTGTTAAGCAGAGGAGACAAATATTCAATGAATAGGTACCCTAGTAGTTAGTAGCGATAAATGCTATGAAGGAAGAAACATAGAGTACTGTGAGAATGTAGTATTTTGAAATGTTTCTTTTGCAAAATTGTGCTTGATACCCGGAATAGTGTTTTTTTCCCTAAAATACTTAATATGCTGAACAGGTCAGTGTATCATCTGCCTAGTACACATAAGCAATAACAGTAAATGTTTAGTAATTTGAGCATAGTTATGTATGTTCATATATTTTTTATTCCTTCCTCTGTTTGCATTTCCAGTGTTTGATTTTGCTATTTCAAAGAAATGGCATTTTGTTAAGTGAAAATTTGAAGGTGCATTGGATCCTGCTAATTTGTTGGATTCTGATAAATTGTAGCAGTACAATTCTCAAGTTTCGTAGTTAAGAGCATAACTCCACTAAATAAAAATATTTTTAATACAATAATATGGAATTAGAGTAACTCTCCTTTTTCCTGCTCAAAATTTGATTTGCTGAAGCTGCCTCCCGAAAATCATGTGTGTCGACTCTGTGGTCAGAATATGCTCCGGACTCTCTTATGGCAGAATCAGGTCAGGTGACAGTATCAGGTAAAGGGAAATAAGAAACATATTGTGTACCTCCCTATCCCCCCGTTTTTTTCTTTTTTTTCTTTTTTTTTTTTTTTTTTTTTTGAGACAGGGTCTTACTCTGTCACCCAGTCTGGAGTGCAACGGTGTGATCTTGGCTTACTGCAGCCTCTGCTTCCCCGGGTCCAAGTGATTTTCCTGCCTCAGCTTCCCGAGTAGCTGGGACTACAGTGTGCCACCACACGTGGCTGATTTTTTTTTTTTTTTTTTTTTTGTATTTTCAGTAGAGGCAGGGTTTCACCAGGTTGGCCAGGCTGGTCTCAAACTCCTGACTGACCTCAAGTGATCTGCCCATCTCGGTCTCCAAAAGTGCTGGGATTATAGTGACCCACCTGTAATCCGTATCCGGCGTCCCCCCTTTTTTCCCTTGAAAACATTCATTCAGGAAAAACAGTAACATGACCAGGCAAAGGGAAAGAACCTATGGAGATGCTGGGATGGTTGATGTACATACAAAGTTAATTGATTTTTGTAATGTTTTAAAAATGAGCCTTTAAAATTGTGTGGTGGTAAAACAAAACTCAGGAAAGAGGGGAAAGAAATTACAAAAGTATAAGGACAAAATACAAAAGAGAAGAAAATAAGACTTAACATATTAGTAGTGATTGTTAAAACTGTGAATTGAGTAAATTTCCCGAGTAAAAAAATTGAATGTCCCTGATTTAGACATAAAGTAAAAGGATAGCTTGTAAGGAATAGGTTTCATAATTTGAGAGTTGGTAGAACATATAAGAATCCCTGTTGGTTCTTAAGAAACCTGATAAAGGAGAACATACATTAAACTAGGCAAAATACCAGTTTTAGGCAAGTTAGATAATGTACATTTGCTTTCCAGATGTATTGCCAAGTTTCTAACTGTAAGCTGATTTAAAAACACTTTTTTATAATGAAAGAAAATGTCTGAATTATAAGAGCACTCTGAGGAATACTTGAGGTATGAGCGTAGCTCACTTTGCTTAAATACTGTCTTTCCAAGATGTGTTCTTATCACCCCTTTTAACTTTATTTTTTTGTATCTTGCTCTTGTTTACTGATTTTGGCATAAATTTTTGGTATGCTAAAATTGGGCTTGTATGAAAAAAATAATATGACCTATATGCATATAGTAGTCCATCAATAAATAACATAAATAGCATTCAAGATCAGTTTGTTAAATGGAATTAACTGATCTTGATCTGTCTTCTTCTTTTCTAGAAATATTAAAAGTTTGTCAGATATCCAGATTATACAGGTTGCTTGTGGTTACTATCATTCACTTGCACTTTCTAAAGGTAAGCATTAGTTTTTATTTTATTTTTCTTCAGTTTTATTACTTGGTACTTTTTTTATTGTGCATATAGTTCTCCAACTTCGTTCATCTTTCTCCAAGATTACCCTGGTTCTTGATTCTTTTTATTTCCATGTAACTTTTAGAATTAACTTGTCAGTCTGTATACACACACACACACACACACACACACACACACACACACAGCTAGGAATTTGATTGGAATTTCATTGTCTCTATAAATCAATTAAGGATATTGAACGTTTCAATTCTAGAACACGGTATATTTGTCCATTTAAGTCTCCCTTTAATTTTTTCCATTAGCATTTTGTTTTACCTGGACAGGTTTTAAACACCTTCGATTAGACTTTCCCCTAGGTATTTGATTTTTTGTTGTGAATGGCGTCATTTTTTGTTTATTATGTAGACATGAAATTGATTTTTGTGTCTGTTTATTAAACTGTTAAAAACTCTTCATAGCTGCAACTGGAGAGGATTGCTTCCCCAATCTCATTTAATCTCATAGATGAACTTTCTATGCATAGAAATAAAGAAGGCTAAACATCATATTTATTAGCTTTGTATGCATTCCTCTCTTACCAATTTAACTTACTAGTATTCTAGCTAAGGATTAGAATATGGGCTAGTAAAGAATCTGCCATATGTATGTTTTTTACCATTAAAATAAATAGGTTTGCTGGGTGAGGTGGCTCACACCTATAATCCTGGCACTTTGGGAGGCCGAGATGGGGGAATCACCTGAGGTCAGGAGTTTGAGACCAGCCTGGCCAACATGGTGAAACCCTCTCTCTACTAAAAATACAAAAAATTAGCCGGCGTGATGGCACACACCTGTAGTCCCAGCTACTTGGGAGGCTGAGGCAGGAAAATTGCTTGAACCCAGGAGGTGGAGGTTGCAGTGAGCCAAGATCGCGCCACTACACTCCAGCCTGGGTGACACAGTGAGACTCTGTCTCAAAAAAACAAAAAGAAGAAATAGGTTCCATTTGCTCCGTTGTTACTATTTAGTGTTACTATTTAGTGTTACTATTTAGTGAAGCCTACTACAAATAAAATACTAAGCTAGAATCATGGGGAAGCACCGATAAATTAAGAGACAGGTTTAGGGATCATACAGTCTAGTGAAAGAGACAGATGTCCAAGTAAATAACTGTAGTTTGAGGCAGAAAAAAGTATGTATTATTTCTGACAAGGTAAAAGTAAAATACTGTGATGATATAATTGTTTCTAATTGATATAATTGGTAACAGTAAGGAGGAGGGGATTAGTATTTGATGCAAGTCTTTAAAGATTTTTTTTTAAATTAATAATTGGAGAAATGCTGAGAAGGACAAGGAGAAACGTTGAGTGGCTAAGGGAGTTATGCTAGTGTAAAGGCATAGAGTTAAGAAAGTGGTGTATTTGACATGTAGTTTTATGTGGGTGTTTTGAGAGAATGGGAGACATACTCATACTTCAGTTTAGGCTGAAATAAAAAGAGAAATCTGTTATAAAGGGCCTTAAATGTCATATTAAGGAATTTGGACTTCTGTAGGCAGTTAGGAACATGGAATCTCTGTGTATGCTTTGTTGTTTTGCCAACTCCTCTTTTGATATTTTGGTAGGTGGATCTAACATAAATTTAAACTCAGAGGTTTTACTGAGGACAGTTTCATATTGACCTTTTTTTTTTTTTTTTGGCTTACTCAGCTTTATGCTGTAGGCAATATGTTATTCATTTGTTAATTTTTTTTTTTTTTTTTTTTTTTTTTTTTGTGATGGAATCTCGCTCTGTCGCCCAGCCTGGAGTGCAGTAGTGCGATCTCGGCTCACTGCAAGCTCCGCCTTCTGGGTTCACGCCATTCTCCTGCCTCAGCCTCCCGAGTTGCTGGGACTACAGGGGCCCGCCACCACGCCCTGCTAGTTTTTTGTATTTTTTTTTTTAGTAGAGATAGGGTTTCACCATGTTGGTCTCTATCTCCTGACCTCGTGATCCTCCCGCCTTGACCTCCCAAAGTGCTGGGATTACAGGCGTGAGCTACCGTGCCCGGCCACTAAACATTTTTTAGAGCCCTTAGTATGAACTAGGCATACTACAGCATACAGTAATAAGCAGTATACTACTTACTAGCCCTCGTGATATAGTCGTTCAAATAATGATATAGTTACATACTATGGTAAGGGCTATAAAGAAAAACTTTAGGGTATTTAGAACATACAGCAGAGGTACTAGACCTAATCTAGGAGATCAGGGAAGGAAGGTTCCTACTGGGAGAGAGTTGAAATGAACTGGACAAAGATGAGGAGAAGGTTTAGGTAGAGAGAACAGCAAGTGTGTGAGAAGTGGCCATTGGAGAATATAAAGGAAGGCAAGTATGGCTAGAGTATAGCGAGTGAGGGAAGAGACTGATATGAGAAGAGATTGGAAACATAGGTAGATCATACAGCATCTTATAGGCCTGGTTTAAAGTGTTTATCCCAAGAGCAATGAGAAAGCACTGAAATATATTTTTTGGGGTGAGCAATATTATCAAACCTGCATTTTTACAGTATCTCTATACATGTATACAAATGTCTGTTTATATGCACATAGAACATTTTTTGAAGGACTTACCAGTAATTGGTGAGAGTGGTTGTCTCAGGATGGGTGTGGTGGCTCATGCCTGTAATCCTACCACTTTGGGAGGCTGAGGTGGGCGGGTCGCTAGGTCAGGAGTTCAAGACCAGCCTGTCCAACATGGTGAAACTCTATCTCTGCTAAGAATATTTTAAAAAAATTAGCCAGATGTGGTGGCACATGCCTGTAATCCCAGCTGCTCAGGAGGCTGAGGCAGGAGAATCACTTGAACCTGGGAGATGGAGGTTGCAACAAGCAAAGATTGCACCACTACACTCCAACCTGGGCGACAGAGCAAGACTCCATCTCAAAAAAAAAAAAAAAAAAAAAAAAAAAAAGAAGAGTGACTGTCTCTCGAAAGAGGAACCAGGATTCTGATTTTTTTTGGAAGGAAGCTTACTTTTAAGTGTGTACTGTTTTGTAATTTCAATTAAAAAACTCAGTTATTAGTGTATCAGTTATTTAGTGCCAGTTGTTAGTTTAATAAAAGGATGTCTAAAGTTGCAAAATACGATGGCAGTATGGGAGCAAAAGTGACAGGCAGGGGAAGCTATTATAGGAATCAGTTAAGATGGTGAGGAATGGGTCTATTTGCCATATTTTTCTTTAGAAAGAAAACTGTATATAAATTGATGATATATGATAGATTGGATATCTGTGAAGTTAAAAAAAAAAAAAGAGAGGAGTATTAAGGAAGACTCCCTAGGTTTATAATTGTAGCTACTGAGTCAGTTATGATGTTATTTACCAAAATGGGGAACACTGGAAAGAGGTCCAGGGAAGTAGGATGGGGGTAATGAATTCAGTTTGGGGCATCCTAAGTTAGAAGTTCCTTTGAAATTTCCAAGTATAGATGTCAGGCAAACAATGGGTTATGTGGGTTTTTTCCTCAGGAGAGGTTTGGGCTAGTGATAAAATTTTGAATGTGATCAGCAGATAGTTACTGAAGTTTGAGCTTGAATGAGTACCTCTTGGGAGAAACTACAGAATAAAAATGAGACTTGAGGAATATTAAAAGGAGACTGTTGAGGAGCATAAGGAAATGAGATTACTCCTTGTTATATGACTCACCTGTTCCTCTGTGTGGTCAATCAAACTTAAAGTATACTAATACTGAATGTTCTTCTAGGTAGTAGTATATGTTCATATAAGAAAAATAAGCATAATTGCTAAAAATAATATTTATATTATTTTGATGATAGGAAGAATGTCCCAAAATAATACTCTTTGTATGAAATTTTAAATGAAATGATTATTTTCAAATTAAATTTTTTGCATATAAGAAAAATGGTTAATTTTTCCGTTATTGTTTTACAGCAAGTGAAGTCTTCTGTTGGGGACAGAATAAATATGGCCAATTGGGTTTAGGTACTGACTGTAAAAAGCAAACTTCACCACAGCTGATTAAGTCTTTGCTTGGAATCCCTTTCATGCAAGTTGCAGCAGGAGGAGCCCATAGTTTTGTACTCACACTTTCTGGAGCTATCTTTGGATGGGGACGCAACAAGTTTGGTCAGCTAGGTCTTAATGATGAAAATGGTAGGTTCTCATTATGTATAGTTTAAGTGTGTTTTTTAAAAGAGATGATCTTTTGAGATAGATCAGTGATTCTTAGTATAAGAGAGAAATGTATGTTCCCTGGTGTAGAGGTGGGGATAAGATGTTATTTAAAAATTCCATTTGAGGAATGCAGTGGGAAGACACAAAATATCCTTTTTTCATTAAAGAACTATAAAAAAAATAAAAAAAAGAACTATATCTGGACAACATCTTTAGTATTGGATGTTTATTAAAAGACAGTTGAAAAACATTACTTCAAATTGTTAATCCACTGTTGGCCACTGTTAGTGGAAGGAAGCTGTAAAATTATTCTGGGGAAGTAACATGAAGTGTTAATCTTTGAGTTTTTCAAGGAAATATTTAAATGATTTGGATTAAATTAATCTTTGGTTGGGCTTCACTTTTAACATTGATGCTAAAGTCTTAAAAATAAACATTTTGAATTTGAAAAAATTAAAATTGAAACAAGTTGGGATCTTGGAACTTAATTTTCATGATTACATTGAGTTGAATGCCAGTATTTGACTTACAAAAGCTAATTTCTTATAGTTCAATATAATTGTAATGACTGAAATGGACAAAAGTGAGTTGTTAATCTGATAACGATTAGTAATGACAAAGAAAGAAAGAATACCTTGTTTTTCCTAAGAAGAATATGTCATATTAGGATATCATGTATCTTTTCTGCTACAAAACAGCCTAAAGTACATTTTTTTTTCCAGGCTTTTAAGTAGGCTCCTGTTGGTATAACTATCATGAAGTGAATATAAAGAATGATGTGTATATGTGGAAAATTAGAAGCAGTTAAATAATTTTGAAATTCCTTGATTGCTGAGTCCTGCGTAGACTGGCATATTGGCTGTTTAGCGCTTAACTCTTTAAGTCCCTCCTTTATCACAATAGTATGGATAGGCCTGGGAACCCGACTTAGGAAGCTTGTACTACAAAATCATTGAATCATAGTTAAAATTATTTACTCACAACTATCTACTGAGCTTGGGAAGCTGTAGAGGAAACACATCTAGATGAGTTTTAATTTTTAAAATATTATTAACATCTCTTGTTGGAATTTTCAGATAGGTATGTTCCTAATTTACTAAAGTCACTAAGATCTCAGAAAATAGTTTATATTTGTTGTGGAGAAGATCATACTGCTGCACTAACCAAGGTATTGTACTTTTAAAACTTCTTTATTATTGCTCATCATGGTTCTTTCATAATTAATGAATGTTCTCATGATATTTTCTCAAGTTTTAACTTGAGTATTATTGGTATTTCAAACATAATTTATCTGGGAAAACAGACTTAGATTATTCTTGAAAATAATTTACCTAATTTTTCAACTTTATGTTATAAAATGTGAATTGATACACTATTATATGTAATAATAGTATATTGCTGAATTTCTCAGCTTTATATGAAATACTGCTTAAGTCATACTTTGAATAAAATTATTCCATTTTAGTTCATTAGGCTTGCCATGATACATGTATCAAACCCATTTATATTGTGTAGCTCAGCCTAATTTGAATGTAGTTTCCATTTGGCTTATAAATACTTCATACAAGCAATAGAGGAGATGAATCTGTCTGTTATTCATAGGCCAAGTATTGTGCAAGCAGTTATAGTGAGCTTTGATCAGAGTTTTATCAATGGCTTTAACTCTGACCTCTCACTGTCTTGGGTATGTGCCAATTAAGTATCAGTACTATTTAGTTCTCGAGTGACTAGAAGTTAGATGAAAATGAAAGCATTCAATTAACCTTTACCAGAGGATTATTTATTGCAGTCATGTTAATGTAAAGGAATTTGCAAGTTTTTCATTGGTCAAGTTAGAAACTGGTTAAACTTCTTTATCTGTTTTGGTCTTACATAGTATATAAAATTGGTAAAAAGACATTAATGTCTAGGCATGGTGGCTCATGCCTGTAATCCCAGCGCTTCAGGAGGTTGAGGCAGGTGGGTCACCTGTGGTCAGGAGTTCAAGACCAGCCTGGCCAACTTGGTGAAGCCCTGTCTCTACTAAAAATACGAAAGTTAGCTAGGCATAGCGGCAGGCACCTATAATCCTTGCTACTCGGGAGGCTGAGGCAGGAGAATCAGTTGCACCCAGGAGGTGGAGTTTGCAGTGAGCTGAGATCACACCACAGCACTGCAGCCTGGGAGATAGAGTGAGACCTTATTTCAAAAAAAAAGAGGCATTAACTTCTAATCAGGCTTAAAATTCTGCATTATATTTCTACTTGGGAATTTTAGCAGGACAAGAATTATTCTTCATTATTGTCAAATATAATGAACTCAAGGCACTTTAAAAAATACAATGACCAATTATGAAAGTTAAAGTATTTTGTATTACTTGCCTTTATTAAGGAAGGAATATTATACCTGCCAATCTTATTATTAGGTTGGTGCAAAAGTAATTTCGTTTTTTTGCCATTAATGGTAAAAACCACAATTACTTTTGCACCAACCTAATATCATATTTTATTGATTTTGGCGTTCAGATTACAAATGTAATCACTGAAGTCTTATTTATTCCTGTTGGCAAGTCTTACATTTTACTTGTCCTTTTTTGTTATTGGTATTTGGAAGAAATTTATCAAAATATAAAAAATACCATGTGTGATATAATTCCAAAAACTTAATTTTATGGCAGAAAGGCTAACAATGTTAATGCTTTTCAGATTCAGCCTTTCAGATAACCATTCATCCTAATGTTCTAGGATAAGTAACTTTTTGTGTCTATTTAGTTTTAAGAAATGCTAATTCTGTTACTCTTTTGTATTCCTCTGTCAGAAGATAGTAGCTAGTGACATTTGTTTATTGGAATTTTGGGTGTATATTATTTTTAACAAAATTAGATAGTTGTAAATATCCCCAAAATAAAATACTTTATTTTCCCTAGATTTAAGTTAAAATACATGTTCTATATCCATATGTCTTGCTTTTCTGGAAGAATTTCTTGGAAATAGTAAATAGATTAAGATTGCTTTATGAAATAGTCTTCTGTACAAAACCTACAGTAGCAAAACTGCATTAGGAAAGATTTTAAAACTAACTTTTAAAAACAGAATAAATGGAAAGACATGCCATGTTTATAGATATGAGGATACTTCCATAAAGATGTCACATTTTTTTTCAAGTTTATTTGCAGATGTATTATGTAAGTCACATACAAATACACATTTTGATTTAGCAGACCCACTTTTCGGAATCTACCCCAAAGATTTGAAATTATGTATGCACCAGACCATTTATTGTAGCATTTTAATAGCAAAAGACTAGGAGAGATCCAAATGTCCATGAGTTAAATTGTAGTACATCCCTGTAACGAAGTACAGTGAAGTGTAAAACAGAATGAGATACTTATGCTGTGGAATGATTTCTATGATATATTGCTAAGTGAAAAGAGCAAGGCGTATGGAACAGCTGTCTTTTTGTAAGAAAGGGACCGAAATATGAACATACATCATATGCCATGTATGTTTGTTTGTTTTTGTTTTTGTTTTTGAACAAAAACTCTGTCTCCCAGGCTGGGGTACAGTGGTATGATCTTGGCTCACTGTAACCTCCACCTCCCGGGTTCGAGCGATTCTCATGCTTCAGCCTCCCAAGTAGCTGGGATTATAGGCATGTGCCATCACACCTGGCTATTTTTTGTATTTTTTTTTTAGAGACGTGGTTTCATCATGTTTGCTAGGCTGGTCTTGAACTCCTGACCTTAAGTGATCCACCTGCCTTTGCCTCCCGGAGTGCTGGGATTACAGGTGTGAGCCACTGCACCTGGCCATGTATGTTTTTAAAAACACAATAATTTAAAATTAATAGGCAGAACAAATGTGCCTTGCCTTATAATTTTTTACTTTGGAATCTAGAAACTGTTACATGTAATTAAAAAGCAAAATTATGGCTTGGTGCAGTGGCTTACACCTGTAATCCCAGTGCTTTGGGAGGCCGAGACAGGTGGATCACGAGGTCAGGAGTTCGAGACCATCCTGGCCAACGTGGTGAAACCCTGTCTCTACTAAAAATACAAAAAATTAGGTGGGCGTGGTGGCAGATACCTGTAATCCCAGATACTCAGGAGGCTGAGGCAGGAGAATCGCTTGAACCTGGGAGGCGGAGGTTGCAGTGAGCCGAGACAGTGCCACTGTACTCCAGCCTAGGCAACCGTCTCAAAAAAAAAAAAAAAGGCAAAGTTTTATATATATATGTAAAAATTATATGTAAATTATATACATATTAGTCCTTAAAAATGGAAAACTTAACAAGTTGGTGACACAACTACACAAGAAAGAATTATTTTAGGTGATTTTAAAATACAGCATTTTGCTGTACATCACTGGGGGAAATACGCTAAGGATAAACTGAATCCACAAAGAAATCTTAAACTGCATTCTTTTCCTTTTTTTTTTTTTTTTCTTCTTTTTTTTTTGAGACAGAGCCTCACTCTGTCACCCAGTCTAGAATACAATGGTGCGATCTTGGCCCACTGTAGCCTCCACCTCTTGGGTTCAAGTGATTCTCCTGCCTCAACCTCCTGAGTACCTGGGACTACAGGCATGCGTCACCACGCCCAGCTAATTTTCTGTATTTTTAGCAGAGATGGGGTTTCACCATGTTGGCTAGACTGGTCTCGAACTCCTGACCTCAAGAAATCCACCCACCTTGGCCTCCCAAAATGCTAGGATTACAGGCGTGAGCCACTGTGCCTGGCCCTTAAACTGCATTCTGTAACTTTTTTTTTTCCCTGAGATGGGGGTCTCACTCTGTTGCTCAAGTTGGAGTGCAGTGGCACAGTCATAGTGCACTGAAGCTATGACCAAATTCTTGGGCTCAAGCAGTCCTTCCACCTCAGTCTCCTGAGTAGCTAGAACTACAGGCATGCGCCACTGTGCCTGGCTGATTTTTTATTTTATTTTATTTTTTGTAGAGATGGTGTCTCGCTTTGTTGCCTAGGCTGGTCTGGTACTCCTGGTTTCAAGTGAGCCTCCCACCTCAGCCTCCCAAAATGCTGGGATTACAAGTGTGCATTCTGTAGTCTTACTGTTAGAAGTAAATTTGCTATTATCTTTTTTCCAATATGTTACATATACATAGGAGAAAGCAAAGAAGTAGTTATTTTACTGTGTTATAAACTATGATTTTCAACTGAAGAGAAAAGAGATAGGTGTAAAACTATAGGAATTAAGTTAAAACCTTGTGATCTTTACTTTGAATTGCAAGTGTTAGTATGAACTCTTTATTTTTCTCCAAGAATATGCTTTTTGTTTTGTTTTTGTTTTTGTTTTGCCATAACCACTGAAAGGTCCTAGAAGTAATGAACCATGTATAATCTGGACACAATGATAATCCCTTGATTGTTATAGATTCTCCACTAAAAGGAACCAGGGCTTCTTAGAAAAGAGTCTGATCCCATGTCTGGGACAAAAAATATGTATAAGAATACTTTTGGGCATTTTGTGTTATAAAAAAGCAAAGATTACTGTGGTCCTGTCAGAAGAACAACCTGAAGGAGCTTTCACTGGATATGGAGAAGAAATAATGACTGCAAAAAATGGAAAACATCAGATCTATAAAAAAAATTCATGAGTTTGTAATGATCTTCTCTTCCCGCAAATCAATATAAGCAAAACTTATTGCTTACCTTGGGAAGTTGCTAGGACAACACTCATTTTTTTTTTTTAACTGGTCAATAATGGGAAAGAATCAAGTATTCTGCCTTTCATTTGCAATTTGCATTTTAGGTAATTTAATAGTTAATGAGTCAAATTATTTATAGAAGAATTTCAGTTCATAACTGTAGGAAAAATAATAAAACTAGAAAAATCACCATTTTAGACTCCCTGATGAAATAATGGATCCAGGCAAAGACCATTAAGCCTAATGGGGATGTATCAGGCTGACATTCTTTGACTTATTTTTATTTTTTATATATATATATATATTATTTTTTTTTTTTTTAATTGAGATGGCATCTCACTGTGTTGCCAAGGCTGGAGTGCAGTGGTGTGATCTTGGCTCACTGCAGGCCTCCGTCTCCTAGGTTCAAGTGATTCTTCTGCCTCAGCCTCCCGAGTAGCTGGGATTACAGGCGCACACCACTATGCCCAGCTAATTTTTGTATTTTTAGTAGAGACGAAGTCTCGGCATGTTGGCCAGGCTAGTCTCAATCTCCTGACCTCAAATGATCCGCCCGCCTCAGCCTCCCAAAGTGCTGGGATTATAGGCGTGAGCCACCGTGCCCCACCTGACTTACTTATTTTTAACTTCACTAACAAAGCAGACATATGCTTTGTGACATGATGCAATAAAATAATCAGGAAGATTTAAACATGGCTATTGATTTTGTGAATGTGATAATAGTATTACGGTTATATACTTTTATCTCTTAGAGATATATGCTGTTGAAGATACATACACATTTGTGGGTGAAATGATATGATGACCACAGTTTGCTTTAAAGTACTCAAGTGTTTTTTGTTTTGTTTGAAAATACCCCCAAAAGGGAAAGGGAGACACCAGTGAAACAAAATAACCAACCTTTTGCCAGTTATTGAAACTGAGTGATGGTTATATGGTGATTTACTATATTTTCTCTTTACCTTTGTGTATTTGCTTGAAATTTTCTATGATAAAACAAGAAAAATGAATGTTCTTATATAACAGTATGTAATAATGCTATTAAATGATGAAAGCAGGATATAAAGTTGCATATATAGCTACAACTATGAAGAAAAGCAGTTGAACTGAAGAATACTAATTGTGATTGTGTTATCACAGATTTTTTTCCAATACAGAACTTCTAATTTAGTTATATGTTATATGTTTTTTTGTTTGTTTGTTTGTTTTGTGACAGAGTCTCGGTTTGTCGCCCAGGTTGCAGTTGAGTGGCATGATCTCGGCCCATGGCAACCTGCGCCTCCTGGGTTCAAGTGATCCTTCTGCCTCAGCGTCCAAAGTAGATGGAACTACAGGCGCCCACCACCACACCTAACTAATTTTTTTTTTTTTTGAGATGGAGTCTTTCTCTGTCGCCCAGGCTGGAGTGCAGTGGCGTAATCTTGGCTCACTGCAAACTCTGCCTCCTGGGTACAAGCAATTCTCCTGCCTCAGCCTCCCGAGTAGCTGGGACTCCAGGTCCGTGCCACCATGCATGGCTAACTTTTTGTATTTTTAGCAGCGACAGGGTTTCACCTTGTTAGCCAGAATGGTCTCGATCTCCTGACCTCATGATCTGCCTGCCTCGGCCTCCCAAAGTACTGAGATTACAGGTGTGAGCCACCACGCCTGGCCCTAATTTTTGTATTTTTAGTAGAGACAGGGTTTTGCCATGTTGGCCAGGCTAGTCTCAAACTCTTGACCTCAAGTGACCTCAAGTGATCCGCTTTAGTTAAATGTTTTTATGAGTTTTTTTTTTTAAATGACATCTGTATATTGTAGTAACTGTATGCTAAAAATTGCTATAAGGCCACGCACAGTGGCTCATGCCTATAATCTCAGCACTTCGGGAGGCCAAGGCAAGAGGATCGCTTGAGCCCAGGAGTTCGAGAACAGCCTGGGCAACACAGGAAAACCCCATCTCTACAAAAAAGTAAAAAAATAGTCAGACTTGGTGGTGCATGCCTGTACTCCCAGCTACTTAGGAGGCTGAGGTGGGAGGATCACCTGACTCCAAGAGGTTGAGGCTGCAGTGAGTTGTGATTATGCCACTGCACTCAAGCCTGGGTGATAGAGCAAGACCCTGTCTGAAAAAATAAATAAGTAAATAAAAATTGCTATATTTATACACTCTGGTTACATGTACTCTTTTTGCAGCGCATCTATGTAAGGTAGTAGACTACCTTGAAAAGTGAAGATACCATTTTTAGGTTTTGTGAAGTTTTGTATATGTACTTGGAATCCAGCAAGACAGTATAATGATAATGAAAGGCAATGCAAATAAATAATTATTTGTATCTCTTCAGTGTCTACTTTAAATATTTTATAATGGTGAAAACATCATTACCTGGAATTCTCATAGTTGTATGACATTTTACTTTGAAAGAGCCATCTATCTGTTAAATTATGAAGACAGTTCTTAAAAGAGAAAAACCTGAGTTTATATTAAAGATTTGGACTTATTTTTCTGGAGATCAGTTATTTTCTTTATTATGCCTTCTAATGATAAGGGGTTTTGTCTTTTTTTAGGAAGGTGGAGTGTTTACTTTTGGAGCTGGAGGGTATGGTCAGTTGGGCCATAATTCTACCAGTCATGAAATAAACCCAAGGAAAGTTTTTGAACTTATGGGAAGCATTGTCACTCAGATTGCTTGTGGACGGTAAGGTGTTATATAAAAGAGCATTCTGGTCTCTAAACTGCAGTTGTTTAGGGATTGCTTATTGAATTGTTTCAGGGATCCTAATAATCTGAGGAAACACGTTCTCCCTCCAAATACCTATTTTGCCACTGAGGAGTCATAGTAACAGGAGAAACATCTTTTTTACTGTTATTTTATTTATCTTTACTTGAACAGATTTAGCTGAGGCAAGATGTTAATAAGGTATATGTAATATTATATTTATTGTATTTGATATTGCACTCGAAAGGCTTCTTTCTTTCTTTCTTTCTGTTTTCCACGTTTTTTTCTTTTCTTTTCTTTTTTGGGTGATAGAGTCTTGCTATGTCACCCAGGCTGGAGTGCAGTGCCACAACTGTGGCTTATTGCAACCTCCTATGCTCAAGTGATCCTCTTGCCTCAGCCTTTTGAGTGACTGGGACTACAGGAATGCACTACCATGCCCAGCTAATTTTATTTTTTTAATTTTTAGAAGCAACAAGGTCTCATTATGTTGCCCAGGCTTACCTTTTTTCCTTAAAGGGTGAGGAGATTGACCAGTTAATTAAGACAGAATTAATGTGATGAAAGTTTGATTGGTATAATTAAACCAATTATTTCCTAATTCTCCTTATTCTGAGTTCTTGGGAGTAAACAGAAGAGTCTTTGGCATTGAGCTTCATCTATTGATTCTTAGGTCTTGGGAATAAATAGAGGAGTCTTTGAGTTGAACTTCATCTTTGGGGGAACTAAATTGAGCATACTCCCAAGTAACAAAATGTACCTTTTTTGACCACTTAATTTAATTTTGATCAGCTTGCTTAATGTTTTTCTACCTTGTATGCATATCTATGCAATAGTTTAGTTTTTATCAACTGTTAGCTTCAAATGCATGTAATCACACTGTAAGTATTCTTTGGTGATTCTTTTTTTCCTCTTTAATGCTATCCTGTAGTTCCCCTAGGCTCTCTACATTTTTTTAAGATCTCTTTCTGTTCCACAGACTCAATAATTTCAATTGTCCTATCTTTATATTTGCTGATTTTTCTTCTGCTTTCTGAAATCTGCCTTCAGATCTCTTTAGTGTGTTTTTTATTTCAGATATTGTACTTTCCAACTCCAGAATTTTTTTTTTTAGTTTTTCTTTTTGATTGGTATTTCCATTTTGTTCATAATTTTTTTTTCTTTTTACACGTCTTACTCTAGTTATTTGAGCATCTTTAGGATGTTTGATTTAGTCTTTGTTTTTTAGGTCTGCCATTTGACCTTTCTCAGGGGTAGTTTCTATTGTTGGTTTATATTTTCTTTGAATGGGCCACCCTTGCCTGCTACTTAACTACATAGTAACAGGAGAAACATCTTTTCTCCTTGTGATGTTTTTTGAAAACTGGATATTTAACTCTAGTAATGTGGTAACTGGAAATCAGATTCTCTCCCTTCGCCAGAGTTTGCTGATTTCTGGTTTTTGATTATTGTAGGCTGTCTCTGTGTCAGGAGTCACCCTGAGGTATAAAAATGAGGTCTTTGCAGATCTTTTCTTAGCCTCTACCTTTCCCTGCTAATGCACAGTGACTTTCTAAATTCACCCATAAATGTGGTTGCTTTTTAATGTTCTAGACCTTAAATGCCTGGTTCCCCAAAGAAATAAAGAAAAAAATGAAAGGTGGGGGCGAAAGGAGAGTGGAAGAAAGAAAGAGAAAGGCATCAGCCCTTTGAATTCCTTGGAAGTCTCTTTAGCCAGAATGGGAGAGTGTACAACAGTGATTGCCTGCCTTTCTGCACCTTGACGATCAGAAGCACCAATTAGTGATCAGGGCACCAGTTCCTAAAAGGGACAAAGTCCTTTTTGCCCACCCTGGCTTCTACAAGTTGCATACAAGCTGCTCCTGAAACCTGTTCATGGCTCCCTTACACAGGAGTAAGGAATGGGTAACTGCTACCATGCTATGATCTGAAATTGAAATTAACCAGAGTTTGCCATCCACCTCTTCTCTTGGAAATAACAAACCTGTGCATAGACTCCAGAGTTGCAAAATGGTTCTGTAGGACAGATTCTGCTATTGTAATTGTTGTCCAGGTGGGAAACAGATTCTTGGTGCTTCTTATTCCACGATTTTCCAAGAATCCCCTTGTCTAGCTCCATTTTTGAAAATCCTTCACCCTCCTACTGTATGGTGTCACTGTTGCCATAAGTTGGTATATGTACATGGATCTCTTTCTATGATCTCTACTTTTTCAATCTATATGCCTGCACCTGTGCCACTTAAACACTATATAGACACCATAATAACTTCTTCTATTTGGGGTAAAGTGACTCTTTGTTATTCTTCTGTTCTTTAAGAATGCTTTGGCTGGATTGGGTGCGGTGGCTCACGCCTGTAATTCAGCACTTTGGGAGGCTGAGGCAGGTGGATCACCTGAGGTCGGGAGTTCGAGACCAGCCTGACCAACATGGTGGAACACCGTCTCTACTAAAAATACAAAATTAGCCGAGTGTGTTGGCACATGCCTGTAATCCCAGCTACTCAAGAGACTGAGGCAGGAGAATCGCTGGAACCCGGGAGGCGGAGGTTGCAGTGAGCCAAGATTGCGCCATTGCGCTCCAGCCTGGGCAACAAGAGCAAAACTCCGTCTCAAAAAGAAAATAAATAAAGAATGCTTTGGCTGATGATGACCTTTATTACTTTCATATAAATTTTCGCATAGGTCTGTCAAGTTCTCTCAAAGAAAAAAAAAAGCCTTGTGGGATTTTGATTGGCAATGCATTGAATCTCTAGGTTAATTTAGGGAAAAGTTGTTGTCTTTATAATATTAACTTTTCTAATAATCAACTTCCAAACTTCTTTAATGTCTTATAATAAAGTGTTTTAAAATTTTCATCATAGAGGTCTTGTATATCTTTTCGCAGGTTCCTAGGTTCGTCTTTAATGGTATTATATTTTTATTTCCACTTTCTGAGGAATCACTGGCATGTAGAAATAGTTGATATTTACATATTGATTTTAAATACAGCCACCTTGCTAAACTCTTAATAAGTTACTCATGTACATAGTCATATCATCTGTGAGTCAATTCAGTTCTGTTTAGTTATTTCTGTTATTTATACTTAATGTGTTTATATAATTGTCTTAATGTGCTGGTTAGGACACCATTATAATGTTTACTGTAAACATGTTTCCTTTCTGCGGGAAAACTTTCAATATTTCACAGTTAAGTATAATGTTTGCTGTAAAGATTTTTGTAGATAACCTCTATCAGACTAAGTAATTTCCCTTTTATTCCTAGTTTTTTTTTTATTGTGAATGGATGTTAAGTTTTTAATGTTATTTTTTCTGTATCGAAATGATTTATGATTTTTTTCCCTTTAATCTGTTAATGTGGCATATTGATGGATTTTTTTTCTAGTTCACAGCTTTGTTTTTCTGGAATAACTTCAATTTGGTCAAGTATTATCCTTTTTATTTAGTGCTGGGCTTGATTTGTGAATATTCTGTTTACTATTATTTATATTTCTGTTTATCAGTGAACTTGATCTATAATTTTTTTCTTATTATTCTTTTCACCAGATTTTATTATGAAGGTTTTCTAGTCTGATAAAATAACATTGAGGAAAGTACTTTTGTTTTCTAATTCTTGGAAATAGAACAGCTTGAAATGTTGGTAGAACTTGTCATTAAAGCCATTCGTGCCTAGCATTTTATTTTTTAGAATTTAAAAAACATTCTTCAATCTATTTAGTGGCTATGAGATAACTTTTATTGTTTCTTGAGTCAGTTATGTGAACGTTAATTTTTTTCTAAGAATTTTTTTTCATTTTGCTTAAGTTTAAACTTATAGACATAGGCCAGGCATGGTGGCTCACGCCTGTAATCCCAGCACTTTGGGAGGCTGAGGCTGGCGGATCACCTGAGGTTAGGGGTTCATGACCAGCTTGGCCAACGTGGTGAAAAAACCCCGTCTCTACTAAAAATAGAAAAATTAGCTGGGCGTGCTGGCACGTACCTATAATCCCAGCTACTGGGGAGGCTTATGAGACAGGAGAATCGCTTGATCCCAGGAGGCGGAAGTTGCAGTGAGCTGAGATCGCGCCACTGCACTCCAGCCTGGGCAACAGAGCAAAAATACTGTCTCAAAAAATAAATAAACTTATTTACATAAAACTTATAATGTCTGTATTGGTCTCTTGTGCACAAACAACATGTCAGTGACATATAATAGTAAATGTTTATTTCTTACTTTGTGGTTCAGTAAAGTGGTTCATCCTTGGGCCTTGGGCTATCTGGAGCAGCTTTTATTTAGCCTAGAGATTGACTGGGGCAGTTCTGTTTCAGGCTGCCTCTTCACTGGGTGACTTGGTTCAGGCTGTGTTTCAGCTCAGGTGGCTTTGTTACATATCTCATTCTTGGGACTATACCAGAGGAGCAGTGGGCTGCCTCTGGTTATTCTTCTGATGGAGACAAATACACAAGAAGGCAAACTCAACTGTGCATTACATTTCAGGCCTTCTGCTTGCATCACATTAACTGAAATCTCGTTGACCAAAAGCAAACTATATGGCCAAACCTAAAGTTAAGGTATGGGAAATATAATATACAGCCCAACCACCATCAGGCTATAATGGGAATATGAGTGCTTAATACTACAGGGTGATGAATTTAAATCATTTTTTTAGGTGACATGTTTTGTTAGTCCTTTGTGAAATATCACAAATGATTTAATGTTATCCAGTTTTGTAATTCTTAATAGCCAAAATGTACATGATTTGAATAGTTATTCTTAGCTCTGTAAACCAGTTCTTTTCAGCAATTTTATTCATGTAACTGTTGGATCTGGGGTAAAATTTCGACTATTGAGTGAGATCTAAGGACTTAACCTAAACAGGAAATGTAAGTAGATATCTGGTATTTTGATCAGTTTGACTTCCAAGTAGTCAGTACTATAAGAAATATGTATTATTGGGCCAGGCGCAGTGAGTGGCTCAAGCCTGTAATCCCAGCACTTTGGGAGGCCAAGGCGGGCAGATCACAAGGTCAAGAGATTGAGACCATTCTGACCAACATGGTGAAACTCCATTTCTACTAAAAATACAAAAATTAGCTGGGCATGGTGACACATGCCTGCAGTCCCAGCTAGTCGGGAGGTTGAGGCAGGAGACTAACTTGAACCCAGGAGGTGGAGGTTGCAGTGAACCGAGATCATGCCAGTGCACTCCAGCCTGGCAACAGAGTGAGACTCCTTCTCAAAAATAAATAAATAATAAAATTTTAAAGAAAGACATATGTATTATTTCCTTATTCAATAATTGTCAGAAACCTCCTGAACGAAGCAGTCAGGATTACCAAAATGTCAGTGCATCAGTAGATGATCCAAAAGAAAAAAGTTTACATTCTAGTAGTATAATAAAGTGCTTTCGAGCTCTTAACATCAAATCTAGAGCCTAAGGTAGTTCTTTTCATTCAGTGACTCTGAACCCCGCTTTATACTATAATCACACACATATATATGTACATATATTTTTGAGATATATGTACATATATCTTGCTCTGTTGCCCAGGCTGGAGTGCAGTGGCACAATCTTGGCTCACTGCCACCTCTGCCTCCCAGGTTCAAGCAATCCTCCTGCCTCAGCCTCCTGAGTAGGTGGGACTAGTATTGCAGTAATTTTTAAACTATTAATATGTTCCTTTGAAGATGGCTGCTTCCTGAGGGAGAGTAGTAATCCGGCAGCGTAGCTAATTTGAAAACTCTTTTGAATCAAAACCCCTTTAAAATAACATATGTGAGTTTGCCAGGATGTAAAGAGAACTCCCCCTGGCAAAAACAATAATTATTTAGCTAATAGTTCTTTGTTTTAGTAATTTTGGCCGGGCTTAGCTGGGCTGCTCTCATCTTAGCTGGTTTAGATGATCAGTTGATGATCTGGCTAGGAGCTGGGAGTCTAGGATGGCCTTAGCTGGGGCAGTTTGTCTCTGTTCCAGATTGTAGATCATCCTTTAGCTGCTAACCGTGGTTTATTCTTATGATGGTAGAGCAGAATTCCTAAAGATAGTTAGGGAAAGAGTGTATAAGGCCGCTAGGTTTTGAAGTTGATCTGTTTAGTGACATGAGCTAATTAATACATTACCCAGATTGGCAAGTTCTTTCAGGGTAGCTCCAAAGTCAATTTAAACTAACAGCTTTGGTTTTCCAATTTCTTTGTTTTTGCCAGCAGTTTTTCCCAGCAACACTGGAAATCTCTTTCTCCATGTCTTAAATCCAAGTCCTAATCTATAGCTTGCTTTGGCCAGCAGAAACGACAGTGTCTGCGTTCTGAGCCTATGCCAAAGCAAGCTATAGATTAGGACTTGGAATTCTGCTCTACCATTATAAGAATAAACCACTGGGAGGCTGGGCGCGGTGGCTCACGCCTGTAATCCCAGCACTTTGGGAGGCCGAGATGGGTGGATCACGAGGTCAGGAGATCGAGACCATCCTGGCTAACACGGTGAAACCCCGTCTCTACTAAAAATGCATTAAAAAAAATTAGCCGGGCGCAGTGGCGGGTGCCTGTAGTCCCAGCTACACGGGAGGCTGAGGCAGGAGAATGGTGTGAACCCGGGAAGCGGAGCTTGCAGTGAGTGGACATCACGCCACTGCACTCCAGCTTGGGCGACAGAGCAAGACTCCGTCTCAAAAAAAAAAAAAAAAAAAAAAAAGAATAAACCACTGCAGTGGTCATATTGCATAAGATATGGGTATGGGGAGAGGGATAATTTCAGCCACTTTTATGAACAGTATGCCACAAATGGCAAAGAGTAGTTTAGGGCAAGAGATGAGATCTATGACCTGATAGAAACAAGGGTGAGACCTGGAGATGCCATGTCCTCTCAATAAAACCATCTCATGGATAGGGTACACAATGAAATACTTCCATGCTTGCATAAGGAGGCTTTTTCTGAGGAGTTGGATAGGTTTACTGAGAGTGGATTGGTGGGCCATCCTTAGCTTCAGTTCTGTGATTTCTTAGGTTTTCTTTCACTATTGTGCCTCCAGAGGAGTTTTGGTGCATACATATAGAGATTATTTTCCTCAGAAGAAAGGAAACGTTGTTTCTGTCATGCATAAGTGTGTATAACAATCTTCTGATTGGTACTAGGTTACTTCCCATTTCTTAGCCTAAAACTTCTTGGTGATGCCCAAATGGAGGACTTTCGTAGACCACAGCTGTGGACTAGAACTTGGCAAGGGGAGTAGTGGGGACTTCCTTGAACAACATAGTTAGATGCTACTCTGGTGCTGAATCATCTATCGTAAGGGATTTCAGTATAGACCTGGGCCATTTAAAATTTAAACATTAGTGGAAATTTTCTGGACCATGCTCATGCAGCCTGCGTGATGCAGAATTCATTCTGTAGATTAAGGCTGTTAACGAATATTTATACAGAAGCTTTGGAACTACAATTGGTTTTGTTAATTTATTTTTTGAAAAAAGATACCTCTTAATATTTTCTCTGCTTTTGTCATTGTAAATTGTTGGAAAGTAAAATTAAGCCTGAGGTTTTCTATCATTTTACTCTAGGCAGCACACTTCTGCTTTTGTTCCTTCATCAGGACGAATTTACTCTTTTGGGCTTGGTGGTAATGGGCAGCTGGGAACCGGTTCAACAAGCAACAGAAAAAGTCCCTTTACTGTAAAAGGAAATTGGTACCCTTATAATGGGCAATGTCTACCAGATACTGGTAAGTTCTGTTATATTAAAGCTTTCCTTCATATATTAAAGTTCGTGTTAAAATGTTGCTCTTAAGTCATGAAGATTTCTGCGAAAGAGTTCCAAGATATATTGTTAAGTGAAAACAGCAAAATACAGAACAATGTATATGGTTGTTTGATTTGCTTATATTTACTTGTAAGTGCATAAGGAAATTCTGGGTAAGTAAAAGTTACTTACAGTGAGTGGGTCGTGTGGGAACTAGGAGATGGCTAGATACCAGTGGGAGGGATTTTTGTTTGTTTTCTATTTTAAATTATGGTAAAATATGCACAATGTAAAATTTACAGACTTAAGCATTTTTTAATTAGCATTAAGTATATTCACGTTATTATGTAACCAATCTCTAGAACTCTTTTCATCTTGAGGAACTAAAACTGTATATGCATTAAACAGCAACTCTCCATTCCCTTCTCTTCCTAGTGCCTGGCAACCTCTATTCTACTTTCTGTCTCTATGGATTTGACTTAACACTAGGCTAGGTACCTCAAAGGAGTGAAATCGTATAGTAGTGTTTCTTTTTGTGACTCACTTATTTCACTAAGCATAATGTCCTCAAGGTTCATCTATGTTGTAGCACGTGTTAGAATTTCCTTCCTTTTTAAGCTGTATAATTCAGGCATACCTTGGAGATATTGTGGACTCAGTTCCAAACCACTGCAATGAAGCAAATACTGCAACGAAGCAAATATCGTAATAAAGCAAATCACAAAATTTTCGGTATCCTAGTGCATATAAAAGTTATATTTATACTATATTGTAGTCTACTAAGTGTGCAATAATGACATTATGTCTTAAAAGACTATGTATATGCTTTAGTTTAAAAATATACTTTATTGCTTAATGCTGACACAGAGATGTGAAGTGAGCACATGCTGTTGGAAAAATGATGCTGATAGACTTGTTCTATGCAGGGTTGCCCCGAACCTTCAATTTGTAAAAATCACAGTATCTGAGAAGCACAGTAAAGCAAAGCACAAAAAAATGAGGCATGCCCGTGTTCTTATTATATGAATGTGGTTTGTGGCACCCAAAACAATTGCAATGGTAACATCAAAGATCACTGACCATAGATCACCATAAAAGAATGATAATGAAAAATATTGAAATATTGCAAGAATTGCTAAAGCTCATAAGCTTTACTGAATTTTTGATATTGAATTTTTACAAATTGAAGGTTTTTGACAACACTGCACTGAGCAAGTCTATTGGCACCATTTTTCCAACAGCATATATACTCACTTTGTGTCTTTATGTCACATTTTGGTAATTCTTAACAATATTTCAAAACTTTTATGTTGTTACTATATCTGTAATGGTGATCTGTGATCAGTGATCATTAATGTAATTGTTTTGGGGTGCCATGAAGCTTACCTATATAAGACAACAAACTTAATTGATAAATGTGTATGTTCTGACTGCTCCACCAGCTGGCCATTCCCATCTGTCTCCTTTCCTTGGGCTTTCCTGCTCCTTGAGGCACAACAGTGTTGAAATTAGGCCAGTTAATAACCCTACAATGGCCTCTAAGTATATAAGTGAAAAGAAGAGTCACACATCTCTCACTTTAAATCAAAAGCTAGAAAGGATTATGCTTAGTGAAGAAGGCATGTCAAAAGCCGAGATAGACTGAAAGCAAGGCTTCTTGTGCCAGTTATCCAAGTTGTTAATGCAATTTGAAAGAAATTAAAAGTGCTGCTCTGGTGAATACATGAATGGTAAGGAAGTGAAAAACAGCCTTATTGCTGATATGGAGAAAATTTTAGTAGTCTGAATAGAAAATCAAACACGCCACAACATTAGGATTAGCCAAAGTCTAATCCAGACCAAGATTCTAACTCTCTCCAAGTCTCTGAAGGCTGAGAGAGGTAAGGAAGCTGCAGAAGAAAAGCTTGAAGCTAGCAAAGATTAGTTCATGAAGTTTAAGGAAAGAAGCCATCTCCATAACATAAAAGTCCTGATGTAACTTGTACAGCAAGTTATCTAGCATGTCTAGCTGAGGTAATTAATGAAAGTGGGTACACTAAACAACAGATTTTCAATGTAAACAAAACAGCTTTCTATTGGAAGGAAATGTCCTCTACAACTTTTCTTTTATAGCTAAGAGAAGTAGTCAATGCCTGACTTCAAAGGACAGGCTGACTGTCTTTTAGGGTCTAATGCATCTAGTGACTTTAGGTTAAAGCCAGTGCTTGTTTACCATTCTGAAAATGCCAGGGCCCTCAGGAATTATGCTAAATCTACTCTGCCTTTGTTCTATAAATGGAACAACAAAGCCTGGATGACAGCTCATCTGTTTACAGCATGGCATACTGAATACATTAATATGGGCTTAAGCCCACTGTTGAGACCCACTGCTGAGTAAAAAGATTGCTTTCAAAATATTGCTGCTTATTGACAATGCACTTGGTCACATCAGAGCTCAGATGGAGATATACATGGAGATTAATGTTTTCATGCCTGCTATTACAATATCCATTCTGCTGCCTTAGGAATAAGGAGTAATTTTGACTTTCAAGTTTTATTATTTAAGAAATACATTTCATAAGACTGTAGTTACCATATATAGTGATTCCTCTGATGGTTCTGGGCAAAGTAAATTGAAAACCTTCAAAGAATTCACCATTCCAGTTACTAAGAACATTTGTGAAGTGAGAGGATTGCTTGAAGCCAGGAGTTTGAGACCAACCTGGGCAACATAGTGAGACACTGTCTCTACAACAAATAATTTTAATATGCCAGGTGTGGTTGCACATGCTACTTGGGAGGCTTAGGCAAGAGGATTGCTTGAGCTTAGGAGTTGAAGGTTTACAGTGAGCTATGATCATACTAGTACACTCCAGCCTGGGTGACAGAGCAAGACCCTGTCTTTGATTCGTGGGAGGAAGTCAAAATATCAACAATAACAGTTTAGAAGAATTTTATTCCAACCTTCATGGAAGACTGAGGGGCTCAAGACTTCATTCGAAGAACTTAACTATAGATATGGTGGAAATAACAAGAGAACTAGAACTAAAGCCTGAAAATGTGACTGAATTGCTGCAATCTTACGATAAAAAATACCCCTCATCCAGTCCCAGGACATCTCAAAGCTCTGCAGAAAGAACTTGAGCAATTTGCCAAGTTCCTGAAGCAGAAGAGGATCACCCTGGGATATGCACAGGCCTGTGTGGGGCTTACCCTGGGGGTTCTATTTGGGTAGGTGTTCAGCCCAACAACCATCTGCCTCTTTGAGGCTCAGCAGCTTAGCTTCAAGAACATGAGTAAGCGGCGGCCCTTGCTGCAGAAGTGGGTGGAGGAAGCTGACAACAATGAAAATATTCAGGAGATGCAAAGCAGAAACTCTTGTGCAGGCCTGAAATAGAAAGCGAACCAGTATTGAGAACCTGGAGAATTTGTTCCTGCAGCACCCGGAACCCACACTGCAGCAGATCAGTCACATCGCCCAGCAGCTTGGGCTCTAGAAGGATGTGATCTGAGTGTGGTTCTGTAACTGGTGCCAGAAGGGCAAGTGATCAAGCAGTGATTATGCACCATGAGAGGATTTTGAGGCTGCTGGGTCTCCTTTCTCAGGGGCATCAGTGTCCTTTCCTCTGGCCTCAGGGCCCCATTTTGATACCCCAGGCTATGGGAGCCCTCATTGCACTGCACTGCACTGCACTGTATTCCTCATTCCCTTTCCTTGAGGGAGAAGCCTTTCCCCCTGTTTCCATTGCCACTCTGGGCTCTCCCATGCATTCAAACTGAGGTGCTTGCCCTTCTAGGAATGGGGTACAGGGAGACGGGGGAAGTTAGGGAAAGAGAACCCGGAGTCTGGGCAAGGACTTTTGGGATTAAGTTCTTCATTCAGTAAGGAGGGAATTGGGAACATAAAGGGTGGGGGCTGGGGAGTTTGGGGCAACTGGTTGGAGGGAAGGTGAAATTCAATGATGCTCTTGATTTTAATCTCCATATCATGTATCACTTTTTTCTTAAAGAAGCCTGGGATACAGTAGGTAGAGAGAGAAAAAAAAGAAAAATACTCCTCATCCATTTGTGTTTTATGGATGAGCAAAGAACGTGTTTTCTTGAGATGGAACCTACTGCTGGTGAAGATGCTATGAACATTATAGAAATGACAACAAAGTATTTAGAATATTCCATAAACTTAGTTGACAAATCTGCAGCAGGGGTTGAGAGGCTTGACTTTACTTTTGAAAGCAGTTCCATGGGTAAAATGCTATCACACAGCATCTGCTGGTATAGAGAAATCTTTTATGAAAAGAAGTCAATCAGTGTAGCAAACTTTGTTGCTGTGTTAAGAAATTGCCACAGCTACCCCAGCCTTCAGCAGTCAACACCGTGATCAACACTGACACCATCAACATTGACACTGAGGCGAGACCCTCCATCAACAAAAAGATGAAGACTTGCTGAGGCTCAATTGATTATTAGCATTTTTTAGCAATAAAGTGATTTTAAATTAAGGTATATGGATTTTTTTTTTAAGATACAATGCTATTCCACACTTAATAGACTACAGTATATTGGCCTGGGCACAGTGGCTCATGCCTGTAATACCAGTGCTTTGGAAAGCCAAGGCAAGAGAATCACTTGAGGCCAGGAGTTTGGGACCAGCTGAGGCCACATAGACCCTCGTCTCTATCAAAGAAAAAAAAAGAAAAACCAACTGTGTCAGTGGACTATGGTATCATGTAAACATCCTTTTTTTCTTTTTTCTTTTTTTTTTAATGAGACAGAGTCTTGCTCTGTCACCCAGGCTGGAAGTGCAGTGGTGCAATCTCGGTTTACTGCAACCTCCACCTCATGGGTTCAAGTGATTCTCATGGCTTAGTCACCCTAATAGCTAGGATTTCAGGTACGTACCACCACATCTGGCTACATTTTTTAGTATTTTTAGTAGAGACAGGGTTTCAACATGTTGGCCAGTCTGGTCTCAAACTTCTGGCCTTATGTGATCTGCCCACCTTG